AACAGACACAACAAATCAAAAAAAAAAGAAGATCCAAGTGCAGAAATCATCGTAGTTCTCAAACCTCGAAGTCGGTCGAGTGCTGAAATTGTGGGAAGACCGGGCACTACAGAAACCAGTGCAAGAGTGCAACCAAAGAGTCAGGAGGAAAAAGAAGAGGAAAATATTGCTTCAGCCTCAGGAGGAGTGTTAGACTCTGGAGCATCCTTTCATGCTACCTCACAGAAGGAACTATTCGAAAATTATGTTCCTGGAAACCTTGGTAAAGTTTACCTTGGTAATGAGCAATCATGTAAGGTTGTAGGGAAAGGTGCAATAAAAATCAAGCTGAGCGGGTCTGTATGGATATTGAAAAATGTTAAACATATTCCCGACCTGATGAAGAATTTGATCTTCTTGGGCCAGCTAGCCAGTGAAGGCTACACGACAATCTTCCATGGTGATGATTGGAAGATTTCAAAGGGTGCGATGACAGTTACTTGAGGCAAAAAGAGTGGTACTCTTTACAAGACAGTAGGAGCATGTCATCTGATTGTAGTTGCAGCAAATGAAAATCCCAATCTATGGCACCAAAGACTTGAGCATATGAGTGAAAAGGGATGAAGATCATTCAGTCAAAAGGAAAATTACCAGGCCTACAGTCAATAGAAATTGGCATGTGTGAAGGTTGTATACTTGGAAAGCAGAAGAGAGTCAGCTTTCAGACAAGTAGAAGAGCTCCAAAGAAGGAGAAGCTTGAGCTCATCCACTCTGACGTTTGGGGTCCAACAAATGTCCCATCCGTTGGTGGGAAACAATACTTCGTGACTTTTATCGATGATCACTCTAGAAAAGTATGAGTTTACTTTCTGAAACATAAGTCAAAAGTATTTGAAGCTTTCCAGATTTGGAAAGCTATGGTGGAAAATTAAACAGGCTTGAAGATCAAGAAGCTCAGATCCGACAATGGTGGTGAATACGTAACCACCAGATTCAAGAAGTTTTGCTAGGAGCACGGGATCAGAATGGAGAGAATCGTGCCTGGTACGCTTCAACACAATGGTGTAGCTGAGCAAATGAATAGAACGTTGACTGAAAGAGCCAGAAGCTTGCATGTGCAGTCAGGCCTACCAAAGCAGTTCTGGGCAGAAGCAGTCAACACATCAACTTACTTGATCAACCGAAGTCCATCTGTACCCTTGGATCACAAGGTACCAGAAGAGGTATGGAGCGGAAAAGAAGTAAAACTCTCACATCTTAGAGTTTTTGGGTGTGTAGCATATATGCACATCAGTGATCAAGGTAGAAACAAACTTGATCCAAAATCAAAGAAGTGTACCTTCCTTGGTTATGGTGAAGATGAGTTTGGCTACCACATATGGGATGATGAAAACAAAAAGATGATCCGCAGTAGAGATGTCATCTTTAATGAAAGAGTGATGTACAAGGACCGGCATAATAAGGTGCCAGCAACTCAGAAACGAGTGAGTCAGTTTATGCAGATATGAAAGATATCCCAGATAGTCCTATAATGAGGAGTCCTCGGTCAGAGGAATCAAATGAAGAAAGTGATGTGCAATCAGAACCTCCTACTCCAGCTGTTGTATTGAGAAGGTCCTCTCGGCCCCATGTGCCTAACAGGAGATACATGGACTACATGCTGCTGACTGATGGAGGGGAGCCTGAAAATTACATGGAAGCTTGTCAAACCACAGATGCTAGCAAGTGGGAGCTTGCCATGAAGGACGAGATGAAGTCCTTGATCTCAAATCAGACATGGGAACTAGTCAAGTTACCTATGGGAAAGAAAGCACTTCACAACAAATGGGTGTATCGAGTGAAGGAAGACCATGATGGTTCCAGGAGATACAAAACCCGACTGGTTGTCAAAGGATTTCAGCAGAAAGAAAGAGTTGACTATACTGAAATCTTTGCTCCAGTTGTAAAGCTCAATACTATCAGGATTGTATTAAGTATTGTGGCTAGTGAAGAGCTCTATCTAGAGCAATTGGACGTGAAGACTGCATTTCTTCACGGAGATCTAGATGAGGAGATCTATATGCACCAGCCTAAAGGTTTTTCCGAAGGAAAGAAAGATATGGTGTGCAAATTGAAGAAGAGCTTGTACGGCCTGAAACAAGCTCCAAGACAGTGGTATAGGAAGTTTGATAGCTTCATACACAAGGAAGGTTTCCAGAAGTGCAATGCTGATCACTGTTGTTTCTTTAAGAAGTATGAGTCCAACTATATCATCTTGCTACTTTATGTTGATGACAATTTAGTAGCGGGTTCAGATATGAAGGACATCAGAGAATTAAAGATGCAGTTGTAAAAGGAATTTGACATGAAGGACTTAGGCTCAGCAAAGAAGATTCTTGGAATGCAAATCACGAGAGATAAGCAAAATGGAGTTTTGCAGTTATCTCATGCAGAGTACATCAACCGTGTTTTGCAGAGATTTAACATGGATAAGACTAAGCCAGTCAGTACACCTTTGGCCAGCCATTTTCGTCTATCCAAGGATCAGTTTCCTCAAACAAAGGAAGAAGAAGAGTTCATGACTAAGATTCCTTATGCTTCAGCCATTGGAAGTTTGATGTACGTGATGGTCTGTACGAGGCCAGACATTGGCCATGCAGTGGGAGTTGTGAGCAGGTTTATGTCAAATCCAGGAAAAGCTCATTGGGAAGCAGTCAAATGGATTTTGAGATATCTACGGGACACAACAGAAAAATGTTTGTATTTTAGAAAAAGGGTATCTAAAGTTACAGGGCTACGTAGATACAGACTTTGCAGGTGAAGTTGATCACCAAAGAAGCACCACCGGTTATGTTTTCATTGTCGGGGCTACAACTGTTAGTTGGATGTCGCGGATACAAAAGATTGTTGCTCTATCCACTACAGTGGCTGAGTATGTAGCAGTGACAGAAGCCACTAAAGAATTGATATGGATTCAAGAATTGTTAGCAGAGTTTGGTTTCACTCAAAAAGAGAGTGTCTTGCACAGTGACACTCAGAGTGCAATACATCTGGCAAAGAACTCAGTGTTTCACTCCATAACTAAGCACATTGACATAGGATATCATTTCATCAGATCTCTTCTTGAGGATGAAGTGTTGACTTTGAAGAAGATTATAGGAAGCAAGAACCAAGCAGATATGCTAACGAAGGTGGTGACCTTTGACAAACTGAAGTTCTGCTCAATTTCAGTTGGTCTGCTAGAGTAACAGACCTGAGAAGACTACTGCAGAAATTGAGGTGTGAGGACAGATTGAAATCAGTCCTCAAGTGGGAGATTGTTAATTCACCAATGTTGAAAAACATGTTTTAGCAGCCATTCTTGAGAAAAATTGCAGCGGTGGGCTGCTGATTTTTTTTTGGAAAAATGAGCACACTTATGTAGAAAAATTGTACACTTCCCCCTCTATAAATTGAGGGGGATTATGATGGGAAAGACCACAACGAAAAGAACAAATACAACACGCAAAAAGAGAGAGAGAGAGAGAGAAAAAGGGTGTGAGCAAGAAGCAAGAATTTAGCTTCTGTGTGTATTTGAGTTGTGAGTTGTGAGTGAGTTTGAGAGTGTTTTGTAAACACGAATATATTTTTTCTTCCTAATAAAATATCGGCAGTAGTCCGGAGACGTAGACATTATTGGCCGAACTCCGTTATCAATTTGGTGTGTCTAATTTTTATTTTTATTTTTTCACTTTTATAGATCCGACTTCATGGAAAATTCAGCGTATTTTTCCCAATAGGTTCAACCTTACAAAATACCCAAACAAGTTGAACAAAAAACTCCAGACTGAACTACTCCATAAAGGAGGCTAAGAGCGTGATTGGATACAAATATATCCGCTCAAAGCGGGATTTTTTGTTTAACAATGGTTAATTTTAAAAAATGTGGTATGATTAATTGTTGGTGCGATTTTTAGTTTATATTAAAATTATATTTAAAATAAAATAATTAAAATTGATTTAATGTAAAAGTATGAAAGATGATATGAACTGATGATTAGTAAAACTTATGTTAGGGGATGAATAGTGCATTAAAGTTGACGTAATGTGTAAGAATGATCGATTTGTATTATTTAACTATATTGATAATATTGAAGTTGAGCTAAAATTGAGTGTATGAATTGAGTTTATTTCTGAACATACACACCGTAAAGAACTCCACTAAGGGAGACTAAAAAAGAAACTAAGAGCATGTTTGTTTACAATATAATTCAATCACATTCAATTGATACTCAAAATCTAACTCAAGTTTTACCCAACCTCATTATCTTCAATATCATAAATATAATTAACTATCATTTCATATAATTTCTCTCTTACTTTTACATTTAATCAATTTTAGTTATTTTATTTTCAATATTATTGTAATATAAAATAAAAATTTCATTAGCAACTAGCTATCCAACTTTTTTAAAATTAATCATGATTAATCAAAGAAACTCATTTTGAATGGGTTTATTCGTAAACAAGCACGCCCTAACTGATGGTGCTCAACTTATTTGTTCACGAACCCAATTGAGTTGAGTTGGTAAGAGCTTGCTTGGATATAATCCAAAAAAATTCAATCATTTTTAAGCAATCACTTTTTTTTAACTCAAATCTAACTCAACTTTAATCCAACCTCATTATCCTCAATATTATCAATATAATAATATCAATTTATCATTCGTATACATCTCATCAATTTTAATTCACTATTTATTTACTAACATAATTTTAACTAACTATTACTCAACATCATCTCTCCTATCAACTTTATATATTTTATTTTAAATATTATTTTAAAATAAACTTAAAATTTCACCAACAACCATACAACTTTTTTCAAAATTAATCATATATCAAATTAAAAAATTAAAACAAAATCAAACAATCTTATATCCAACCATCCAAGCATCCCATAAATTACTATATTAGATTAATGATTTNGATTTTATGTAGATTTGATTGCACAAATAGGTACGACCCATCATATCAATTCTGTACACAAATCTAGACCATGGCATTGGACAGTGTAGGGTGAATCATAAAAGAAATGGTGGCCAATGAAACCTGAACACAGCCATACACCTGAAATTTAACATACCTTTTCGTATGCCTTTCTTCATCACTCTGTAAACGTGATGACGACCAGTTAACCCTTAGTAACGTTGTCAAATCAATTGAATTTTAACGAGTACGTTACACCAAAAAACACAAAATTCCAATATACAGATCTCATTCTCATGATGATACTAAAAAAATCGTTCTTTCTCCTACTTTTCTTTTCAACTAAAATATTAGGGATTATCAATCTTTTCAAACTATTACTGTATCACCTTCTATCAAACTTTTTTGTCCCAACACATGTTTGCCTCTTTTCCATGGTTCATGTTTTAATTAGCTTTTCACGGTAGATAGAGGCCCTTCTTGTCCAAAATTTGGTGTCGTTTTTGCTGGCCATGAGTCTGAAAGACAAAATCTCTGCTTCCTAACCACAGTACCATTCTTATCCTTAGCTTTTAATCGGTGAAATTTGTTGCCTTCTTGAATAGTTTTATCATTTGATTCTTGATTATCATTAAGTCGTTGTCCCATTAAACATTTTTGTATTTAAATTTCTTATTAGTGTCGGGCCTATTGGTGTTTATTGCAAAGCCCCACTTGGTAAAAGACACAAAGATTCGATCTTTTCCACAGAATTAAAATAACACTTCATCTTTGTTTTAGCCGTATGCTCTAAAAGTCGAGTGATTTTCTTGAAAATGTGCATGAATCATATTGTTGTCCTGTTGATATTTTTATCTGGAACATTGTTATCGGGGCCAGAGGCGCTTATGTTGACTGAAACTAGTTCTGCAGTTGAAATGCCGGTTTTATGTGTGAGATGAAGTGGGCCCGCTACCATTTTTTACGAGCTTGAACTGTTGAGCATAAATGTGTGCATCGGTTTTGGGAGATCACATGTTATTCGCACAACTTAATTACTTTATATTGCCTTCTATATAAACTTTTATTAATTGTAATTTCCAGTAAGTCAGCTCTTTGACGCATGTTCTGAGTCGGGCTCGGGCTATTAGTTGAGTTGCTGTTGCTCTAGGCACATCTCTTTCATTTTAGCCGTCGGTAATTTTTATTAATTGGGTCCTCAAGTTCTTATTAGTAGCCTTTTCAGTGGAACTCTTAACTTTGTGATGCTAAAAACATGACTTCATTTGTAGTTGAGTTGCCGTTAGCCTACTCACATCACTTTCCCTTGTTAGCCTACTCATATCACTTTCATTTGTAATTGCATTGATCACATATATTGTGCTTGCACCTTTTGTTTCACTTGATTACTCTGTCAGGTCACAAAATTATGCTTTACAGCCCACACTGATTAAATTGGTGACAATTTAGCAATGTAATGAAAACATAGTATCAAGTAAAGAATTTATGATGCTATTTCTCGTGTGTAATTTCTGGTTAGTTGTTTAGCATTATTTCTAATGCACTAATTGTTCAATATCTTAGTAGATAATTCAGTGTTTCTTTGGAGTCAAGCTGTTTATTCTGATATTTTAGGCAAATCGGTTTCGGCGAAAAGAAAAAGAAAAAATCGAGGGGCTAATATCATGGATAGCTTGGATACTGAGAAGGTAAAGAAGATCATTTGGAAAAAACGTAAAACTGAGTTAGACACGAAAGCTGATAGCGCCAACTCTTCAGTAACATGCAAAGAAAGGGATGAAAAAAGGCAGTGCTGTGATTCTACACAAGTTTCTTCAATCCTAATGCACAGTAATTTGGCTCAACCGTTTGTATTGCCCGTTTTACCCACTCAAAAGGTCGACAAATGTTGCTCGAATATTTCGACTGTTTTTACGGGGACAGCTTGTAGAGGTTCAGGGCCGCCTGTGGGGACAGTGGACATTGGTATTGGCAAATTTTCCTATTACTTCTGCATTGCTTTACCTGGAGTTAAACATGGACCAGGTAAACTTTACTTAAAATTACATTTAACAGATTTGACACTCATATATTGCGTTACTTTTCAAACTTAACTAGTATTTTGAATGGTAGGGAAACTAAAGTCTGATTCATATAAATTTCTAAGTTATTTTTGTCCTTTCTCGTTTGTATCTTGGCAATTTGGCTTTCCATAAATGGACTCTTTATGTCTGAAACATCCATAATTTCTTATGATCCAGGGTATAATCTAATTACAACAGAAACATCTGGTTAACTTTCAAAATCTGAAATCATACCTTGAGCTTTGAGCTCTTTGTAGTTATCTGGCAAACAAAAGTTATCAACCTTCACAAGGGTCCAATTTTGTTAAAAAAAAAAAAACGGAACTCTAATGTCAATGAGGTAACTGTACTTTGGACAAACAACTGGGTTTTTTTCATTATGGGGCAAGAATTCGTGAATACTGCTCGTTAATGAACCATTTTAAGCATGGACTGACTATATTTGTATTTATCAGGAGAATTCTACTGTCATGTACAGAGTGATGGGAAGGTCAGGGTTGAAGGTGTGACGTCAACTGGAGGGAAAATAGTCGAAAAATACTCTCGAGTGTTTGAGATGAAGATCCAGCAGCAATGTCCAACTGGTCCATTTACCCTCTTTTTCACCCTTCCAGGGCCCGTTGACCCTAATAAGTTTTTTCCCACTTTCAGATCTGATGGTATATTCGAAGCTGTCGTGAAAATAAAAAATATGATCAAAAGCAAAAGTTCTCGTCTTTTGTAGCTTATGGGGATATGCTCTTGTCTGCTTGAAGCCAATTGCATGTGTTGATGTGCCTTTTGTAGTTCAATTTTAAGCCGTAAACATTCCCCTTTGTTCTTTTTCTTCTCAAATCTGTTCTCTTCTGTTGTAGCTTTGTTATGGAATGTTAGCTGGCCAACTTTTGTTGTAAATGTAGATTGTGGGAATGTTTTAGGCTTAAAATCTGGACAAATCTTGGATTTGGGAGCTGATTTTTGTATGTGCTACTGATTACTCTTTTTAAGCCCTGCTATGGTGATCCCATTTTGCTTAATTTGGCTAGAGGAAATTAAAACAATTGCAATTCACTGCTTCATTTTGCTATTACTATGAACTTGTATGTAGTTGGTGCACAAATCATAAGAANATTTTTCCCTTTTCCTTGCTGATAAATGAGGTTGTCAGGTCAATCTTGCAGGGAATATCAACATAACAGAGAAAATAAAATGTCTCCAAACCAAATGCATTTCTGAAATACAGAACTTCAAGTGGAAAAAGAAAAAGGTACACCTTGGATTAGAGAAAATCTATAATTTTGATTATTTATCCTTCAACAAGTGATCATAGTCATGTAATGAAAGGGAAAGACAAACAACAGACTTAATCAGTTTTCATCTTCACTTAGTTTTTTGATGGGATAAGAGGCCATCATGTTAATGCCACACTTTCCTTCAGCTTTCCCAGTCTTCATCTTCATCCTTATGAACCCTTTCTCTCCCCAATGTGGGCCCCACGAGTTCTTCACTATGACGTAATTCTCATGCTTGCTCAATTTGTATCCAACGGCTGCAACTCCATGATTGAGGTCAGTCCCGCATATCTTGTCAAACACACCCTACATTCAAATTCACGATGAGAAAAACCGAAACAAAAGACACGGTGAATCTTGATGCTAAATGCATTTTTTGTTTTTTCCCTTTTTGCAGAATTAATGTTACTTACTCCTTTATAGAACTGGAAATCTTTATCAGAAGCATCAATGGCCACACTCACAGGCTGGTGAGCCAATGCTTTCAGCAGGCTTTCCTCGTCGTTCGTGGGCACATCTTCATACCCGTCAATGGTGACCACTTCCGACTTAGCCTGAAAACGGTTTTTTCGAATAGTAAACACAATAAAGTTTCATTTTTTTTTTTTTATTTTAAATGAGAAATTCATTTACCCTGTCTACTGAACAGTCTCCTTCTTCCATAGTGTATGGGTATGCCTCCTCTGTGTCGAGCCCACCATTTTTGACAATGTAAGTAAACGCGTAATCCATTATTCCTCCATTGCACCCGCTGTTCAAAGTCGTGTCACAGTCGATAAGCTGCTGTTCGGACAATACGGTCAGATTACCAGTCACGATTTGGTTTATGCCCTCAACTGCCGCAACCGTCGAAAACGCCCAACAACTCCCTGTACAAAAATTTCATAATTTTCAAAAAAAAAATAAAAAATAAAAAAATAATATTATGAAACGAATTATTCGCATGATAAACATTCAAAAATTACGAAAAAAGACGCGTACCGCATGAACCCTGGTTCTTGACCTCTGTAACGGCTCCTTTCTTTCTCCAGTCGACGGATTCCGGAAGGTTCTCAAAGTTCTTATACTTAAACTCGCGAGTCGACTCGCCCCGGTTAGGGACCTTATCGACTCGGAGACCCAAATACTTCTTCTTGAACTCTTCATGGCTCAAATCAGCAAACTCGTTCAAGCCGAGCCAATAGTTGGCAACAACCTTATTACGCTCGTCAATGTGCTTCAAGTTGTCCTTGAAAATCTCGAACCTATGCAACTTCTCCTCGATGTTTTTGTACTTCTTTCCGTGTTTGTCTATCCACGAGTCGAATAAGTTGATGAGCTTGTCGATGCAAGTGAGGTCGTCGGGAGTGTAGCCTACGATCGAGAAGTCGCGGGCCCGGGCCAAGATCGAGAGGGAGAGTAAGACGAGGCCCGAAAGGAATAGTAGTTTGGGGGATGATGGGAAGGCCATGTTTGGTTTTTTTTTTTAAATGGTGTTTGGTGTTTAGGATTGGATGGGTTGGGATTGTGTTTGGGAGGGGATTTTATAGGTGTGGGATTGAGAGAGTTGAAATGGTTTGTGTATGGGTGGTGTTTGCTTGCAAGTGAAGGTGGCTGAGGCTTTAAGGTTGGTTCTGTTTTGAAAGTCAAGCTTTGTTTGGATTGGAAGCATGTTGTTTGAATTTTGTGAATATGTGATGATTTTGCTACATGGAGAATGTCTTGGAGTAATTAGAGGATGTGTTGGGTCATGATAAGCAAAATGGGTAGGGAAACTAATTGCTTTCTGGCTTTGCTGATTCATTTGAATGGATCTTTTCCAAAATCTATTAATATGTATAAAGACATAGCAATATGGTTGAAATTGGGCCAGAATCTATACTTATATTAAAGGGGGTACTATTTATCAAATTAAGTAGTCAGAAAAGTCAACAGCATTTATTGCATTACTATTTCTGTATTATACTATATAAAAGGATATTCTATTTACTACATTTACTATCCAGAAAAGTCAACTGTATTAAATGTCATTACTATTTTGGTATTATAATATTTTATTTATTTAATTAATTTATTTATTTATTTTATTTTAAAAAAATAAGTATAATAAAAAGATTTTAATAATAAAAAAATCAAATACCAAATAAAAATGTACACTTTGACTTATTTGATTATATTTGGTATTTGATTATATCAAATATATTCCTATTTAGTATATACATTAAATACTTACTAAAGTATTTATTTGTTTTATTTGTCAAAGTTAAGTATAAATTTGTTTATATTATCAAATCATAAAAAAATATTAAATT